ATCTAAAACCTGCAGGACACCGGCCCTTGAGGCCTGGAGTTTCATAATAAGACAGCCCTGTCTTATTATGAAAATCAAGAGAAAACTGTCATATTTTAAAACTGGACGAGTAGTCACCAACACATACTGGTGTGCTGCATCCATATAAACAGGCTTTGTTGTTGCTGCAGAGTACAACAATTACCAGCACAAAGGCACAACTTCAATTTGAAAAACAAAAAACCCTTAATATTATTATTAATATTCCTTTTGATATTCAATAATATGCTGACTCCATGATAAAAATGCCACCCAACTTTTGTGCAAAGATGAATGACACAGCGACACATTTGTTTTATACAAATGTACAAGTGTTGAGCCTTTTAAGTGTATAAATGAGAAGAAAACAAAGCAAACAGTTTAAACAGTAACCTGCTAATGTAAAATACCTAACCTTTCGCAATGACTAAGTCAGAACATTGAGTGACTGATCAAGTGACTTAATGACAAAGCTATTCATGAGACTATCAAATCATTTCTAGCCCTTTACAAGTCACAGATTAGATAAGATACTCTTGTCAGAGCAGAATTTGTTTTGTTTTACTTTGTTTATTGCGCACAGTAACATGACTCACAAGTAACTCATCTACTGAGCACAGCATGTGACACCTCTGCTGCTGGCAGATTAACAAGGGCTCACTGCAGTGCAGCCGTTATATCAGACATTTGCAAAAGTGCAGACATGCAAATCTTGTTGTAAAACTACATAAAAGTAAGCAATAAGTGATCATAAAAACAAAGATGAGAAATGCCACACAGCAAACGAGACGAATACAACAGGAGAAAAGTTGGACTCTCTATCCTCTCTGCACTCAGACCTCTGCAGTCGAGTCACTCGGTACCATTCACATACAATTAGCATATAGTAAGAAAAAGTAGTGCTGCCATCTATGGCTCATTATTTTCAGTAGCTTTATGAACAGAACCAAGTCAGCTTGTTTCTAGACTGTCTACAGTCTACACACTCACTCATCCAAAAATCAATGTTGCCATCTTTCTCAGCAGATTGGTGACCTTGGGTTTGGTGATACACTGACACCAAACATCAATATTTTATCTGGATAATGAGAAGATCCTGGATGGAAGGAAAATACTCTAGGATTACTAGGAACAAGAAGTCCCAGCTCACTTAACAGTAGGCAAATTTTCTGCAAAGTCAGACTGACTGCAGAGACGACAACATTCTGCCATCAGAGTGCTATTGCCAAACTGACTCCATTCAAGCCCAGTTTAACTGTGAGGATATAGCCTGCAGATGAAAAAGATGACCCCACTCAGTATTCACTCAAAACTTTGAACTATGTGTTAGCATGTGCGTCACTCTGTCCGTAAACACTACCAAAACATTACCTCTGCCAAGGAAGTTGTTATAACACAGCAGATCGAGTAAATTTATGTGATCAACCTGCAGCTAAATCTTGCTTTTCAAACCCAGTAAACCCTGAAACCATATTGTTATACAGCCAAAAGCAGCCTGTTAAGACTCACATAAAGGTGACAGCAGCTGGTTTCTTTTAAGGGACATTAAGACAAACGCTGCTGCTGACACAGGAAGTTATCTGTCTAATATAGCTTAGAAAACATTTCCTGTCTCATTATTCTGCAGCATCACAAAGTCAAACAAACACAGGTCTCATCTCATTTATTGAGACCTTCGTAATCAACAGACTGGGTGAAGTTTCACTAATCCTGAAACACAAATCCTCCCATTCCAACAAACATGACACCAAAGTATTTTCATACCCCTGACCAGTGTTGGTCAAGTTACTTGATAAAAGTAATCAGTAACTAATTACTGATTACTTCCCCAAAAAGGTAATCCCATTACTTTACTGATTACTTATTTTCAAAAGCAATTTATTACTTAGGTACTTAGTTACTTTTTAAAAAACGATTTTTAACCTGGATAGGTGATAAAGTGATAGATCTTTCAGCCCAATTCTACTTTTTCTGCATAATCCATCATTTAAAATGTAATCAAACGTCTCTTTTTAAAACTTGTTTTATTAGTTTTAATCTTTTAACTTTATGCATCAAGCAAAAATTTAATTATATGCAACATTCTCTGACTGGAAGAAATTTGTTTAACATTTAAACAACGGTAATCTAATTACCGTTTTAGCAATAGTAATCCATTATGTTACTCGTTACTTGAAAAAGGTAATCGGATTACAGTAACGCGTTACTGCCCATCTCTGCTCCTGACAATGAAGAGGGAACGTACTAGCAGCACAACACAGGAAGAGAGTCGGTGCAAGAGAAAGGGCGTGACACACGCTGGCACAGGTGATGCATACAGAGGCTGTACAAGAGATTTTCCAGGTTAAACACTGAACTAGTAAAGCAGAATTTACTAAGAGGACCCAGGTATAGACAAAATACTTTCACAGTATTTGCTTATATGTAAGATGACAGCTTTAAAGGCTGAACTGGAGTGTTGCTGACCCAACGTTGCTTTTGACAAAGTAAAGTCATCAAACGTGTTTTCACATTGAATTAGTATTAGACTCCTCAAACAGAGGAAAGTGTAGTTGCTTTGGGACCTGAGTTCACTGAAAAAAACAAAACAACAAAACAAGATCTAATGCAACTTTGGAGTTATTTATCACCCTTTTCTCTGTTTCTAAAGGCTCAATCGTGCACATAACAATGGTTGAGTACTTTGTGAACTGCAAATGCAAATCTCTCACCCTCTTTAGAGCACAGGCTCTGATGACTCTCTCATACTTCTGGGGGTTCAGATCTTTTCCAAAAAGGATGTTGCTGCGAATTGTTCCAGGAAAGACCCACGACTGCTGGGCTGCGTAGGTCAACTGTCCTTTGACTCTCAGCACCCCTTTTTCAGCTGGAAGTTCGCCCAGGATGGAGCTCAGCAGGGATGACTGATAGTGATGGTAGAAGGTAGAAGCACAGATACGGTAAACTGGTTTTTAAATAGCCCTTTTCTACTTTGAGTACGCAAAGTGCTTTATATAACAGCACATATGGCATGAGTATGACAAAGAAAATAGATTACACAGCAACACGAGTAGATGTCTTACCTTTCCAGCTCCCACCGGTCCAATTACAGCCAACAGCTGATTCGAGCTGAGTGTGAGTGAGATGCTCTGCAGAGATGGAGCATCCAAACTCTGCAAAGAGAATAAAAATCTTACATCAGAAAAAACATTTTAAAAGTCTGCTGTTTAGAGTTACTATGAACAAAACAAAGTGTAGCCAAAGGGCAAGTGTGCACTCAGTTAAATTGAGGTCTTCTGATTGGTTAGAGCAGTAAGTGACATGTATCCAACCTTGTCCCAGTAGCAAGTCAGATCCTGAATCTCCACAGCAGCATCCTTCTCATCCTGTGGCAGAGCAACTGTGTTTTTCCTGATCTCATCCAGTGTCAAGAACTCCTTTACCACAGAAAGAGAGAAGTGCAATAGTGCCGAGTTCTAACACAGCCATGACAGTCAAATCCCTCCCATGATCATTTCCCAATGCAGTGTTACACAACAGCACCAAGGTGCCACATGTTTAACGAGCCGCCTTTTACTACAGTGATCTGGTAAATTATTTGTAAAATTATACAACTCACAGTGATGCCATTGGAAATTCCATTTAAATCTGAACTCAAGTTTAGGGGCAGAAAATTTCAAATGAGGAAGAACTTTGTTTTACACAGATGAACCATTGAGATGATGCTGTGTGAGAACAGCAGTCCCAGACTGAACATTAAGGGATTAGTGTAATGAGCAGATACTAAAGCCTTTATCTGCTTTTATGAGTCTGTTCATTGAAAGCAGAACCAGACTTTCAGAAGCACTGCTACATTCTGCTGGCTTTAACTGTTCAAAAGCTGCATGGCGAGAGACAATGACTTTAAACACACGAGCACGTTCAGTGAGAGACTGAGATTACCAAAAAGCACAACTGAATGACACAGGAAATCATTCCTGCCTGTGGCCATCTCCCTGTACACCTCATCCACTTAACACACTGTTTACTGCAGCAGCTACACCCTTCTTGCACATGTTCTTTTTCAGCTATTTATTAGTAAGTGACTTTTATGTATATATATATATGCCTGTATATATTGTGCTATTCTTAGTTAGTGTATTGTCTGTCTTTGTTAATGTTTGTTTATAATGGAGCACTGTAACAAAAAATTATTTCCCCTAGGGATCAATCAAGTATTCTGATTCTAAACCTGCACTGAAACTGTACTGGGCACGTCTCCAACAAGTCAACAGACCTTACTGTTACAAGGTCTGCTGACTCGACTGATTTTTAGTGAAGTCTTTCATGTCATAAAATAGCACCAATGCAGTGTACCTGAATCCTGTGGACGCTGACACGGCTCTCAAACAGCTTTTCAATAGCACTAGGGAAGAAGAGCGTCACCGTAAGTCGCACCGCACTGTAGAGAGACACCGTCACGAATACACGGCTGGCTGAGATGGTATTTCCCAGGAGGACATAGATGGCGAATGTGACAAAGAGAATGAGCTTGCTGGCGCAGAAAAATGAAGCCATGTTGAGACCTCGCAGGTAGGAGCTCTTCATGATCTTGGAGATCTCATTTCTAGAAGGACACAAAACACCAACAATGAAATGTGACCAGTGTTACTTATTCCTTAGCCCTTCACAAAAAAAAAAAAACCCATACATTACTTTCTAACATTCAAATGTTCGCGATAAAACAGAAAAATGCATCTATATGCAGTGTTGTCATAGATATTAATAAACACCCAGACTCCAAACTGTTGTCCAGCCTAGAAGTAATGAACTAGTTTTTCAGCGTCACTCTAAGACAGGATGCTTCTAATTTTAGAGATGTTGCACAAATGAAAGAAAGTAGTCCTACATATTTGTTTAATATGCGAGTTGAAGGATATATCCTGGTCAAAAGTGACTCCAAAGTTCCTCACAGTGTTACTGGAGGCCAAGGTAATGCCATCCAGAGTAAAAGAATGATGTTCACGCTCCTTCTCTTACTGAGGAATGCAGATTAGCAATAAAGTAGCAATAATCAGCACCAGTACCAGCTATCAGTATTGTATCCAAACTGGAAAAAGCTGGACTGGTTTCTAAGGTTACCCTACACTACAACGTGCTCTCAGAAAACTGCTGCTTTTTCCTTTATTTACATTCTTACTCCCGCCCCAGACACATGTGTCTAATTAAGCCAGTGGTTTGGTAAGATAAGCATTTTCTTCTTGGTTCATTTTCAAAGTCAGAGCTTTGAGTAACACCCTTCATCAACTATCACAGTTTCCAAGCTAAGGTCAGGATGTGCTCCAAAAAGAGAGTTAAGTTTGCATTTCTTGGTACTCAGAATAATAATAATAATCATCATCATCTTTTTACCTTCTGACCTCAGAGACCAGAGCAGCGAAGGGCTTCTCCCAAGCGTACATCTTAATGATCCTCATTCCAGACACCACTTCATTCATTGTGCGGATTCTGCTGTCCGTCAGAGAAGCAGTCTTACTTCTGTAAACAAAATAGAAAACTCACAATTGAACAAACCTATCCAAACATCTAACATGCAACATCAATGTTCATCAGTTCCATCAGAATTATTCCTTAAAATGTTTTTCGTCACCAAGTCTGTAAAAGACCTTTTTCTTTTGGGGGGAATTTAGCCAAAAATACTGAAATAAAATCAGACCAATCACAGGAGTTTTAGACTAAAACAATAGTTCCTTGCTACAGTTCCACAAAGATACACATTTCTGTTATGCTAAATCAGAGTTCAGCTCAGTTTCAGGGATCTAAGACTGAATGAGCATTTGTGGGTTTACCTGAACTTGGAGAAAAGTCTTCCGAACATGCTTTGGACAGGCATCAGAATCAAAAGGACCCCTATGCCTCCCAAGCATGAAGGACCGATCTCGTACCACAGCAGCCCAACGACTGCAGCTGCCTGGAGCGGTCCCACCCACAGGAAGTGCAGAAAGATCGTCACCTATTCAGAGCAAAATATCTGGAATAAGTTGCAATATTACTTTAACAGCAATACATCTTTTAAGGAAGCATGGGAATTCTGCCATTTAGGAATGGCTACTTTCAAAAGACTTCATGAAGATCAGTGAAAGCATGACATGGTGTAATTAACATCCAGCTGCCAAGGAACAAAATACCCCCAAGAAGCTGGCATTTTCACAGCAGTCTCTGCCCACACTGATTAAAAGGAAACTGAACATTCCAATGAGGGAAACTGGATTTGATACCAAGAATGTAATTAAGCCTGAACCTCACGCTAGGAAAGATTTGCCAGAGTTTGTCTGAGCGAGTAGAGTCAGAACAGTCTGATGTGACACACATAAAAAAGATGAATTAGTGGGTGTGTATGTTTGAGAAAGAAAATCCAAAATAAATTCAATACAACTGCATCTTTAAAATTAGTAGTTGCATAGCAGTAAAGTTGCATTCTGCTTCCATGTCTCTGTAGTTAAATGAAGCTAAAGTGCTAGAAGGTGCCACTGGAAATGAGGTTTAGCTATAGTTAAAATATTGTTGCATCCAAGGGTTAAAGCAAATATTATTACTTAGCAACTAGTCTCAAGTCTTTGCTTTTTATTTGCTAAAAAAAATGTAAATTTCACATACTTCATCAAACTTGTTGACATCATTGGAGAGCAGGTTGACGATCTGGCCTGTGGTGGTCTTCCCCATGGCTGAACTGCTCAGATGCAGAGCCTTTAACAGAGATCATCCGTGAAGCAACATTCCTCCACCTCAAACACACATCTATCCACAGAGTTCTTAAAGTATTACATGACAGAACTTGGCAAGGTGATACAAGCACAAGAATGCAGGTACGGCCTTTAGCAGTCCTCGCATGCAATCTAAATAGAGTTTAGTAACAACTAGACAAGAAAGGGTTTTTCCTTTATCAAGCTCATGGACTCCTGCTCACCTTCTTATAAATCATGTGACACATGGCCACTCTGATCTTCATGCCTACCCTCTGCACATAGTAAAAGTAGAGGTGATGCATCAATGCCAGGCCAATGGTGCAGAGAGACAATCCAGCTGCATAGCCCAAGGTCTCATGAAAAGCCCTTGTGTTATTTGGGTCATAACTCTCAAAGTATTCAATAATCTTCCCCAATAAGATTGGCTGGACGACTTTAATGGTCTCCTGAAATGAAGAACAGATGAAAAACAGTGACTGTCAATACACAGTAAACACAGCATTGATTAACGATTCTGATCAACATCTCCAGTGCTTTAAGTTTCCTTCTTTTCATTTTTAATTGTAATGAACACACCACTGACCTCAATTAGTGTAAAGATCCCCAGCACTGCATATGCTTTCCAGTAACACTTAACAATGACACCGGTGAGTCGAGGCTTCCGCAGCTCTTTGGTAGCCCTCTGGACCTCATGATCCCAGATTCTGTCATGGAAAGATCATATTCATGTTGTTTTCCACTTTTGTCTTATAAATCCTGGAATTCAAAGCAGCAATTAAAGATGACATAATGAGGTCTACCTGTCACTTGACTGTACTGCTGTGGTAAAATACAAAACAGGTTAAGAATTAAACCATTTCTACGAGTTTGCTGTGGATGTTTTATAGGCTTTACCTTACATCACCTCCTGTTAAAATTCAAACATCAGTCTCAGACATTAGTTTTTCTTTAACCTCCAAACTTTCATATTGTTTTGGTGTGACTAGCACAAATACTATTTACGTGAAAACAGTTTTACTCTGGCAGTTTTTATCCAGTCAAAACGAGGTTTGGACACAGCTACTACGTGTTGGTTGCCAGCAGAGCCAGAAGTGTGAATGACCAGTATCATGTCATCATAAAATCCAATCAAGAGGTTAATTCACCTTAAACACTGAACAGGTGCAAAAAGGGTAAAACAAGGAAAATGGACCTGAACAACATCTAATGTTTACACCAAAGCCAAAGGTCCAACAATTGTTTGGATCATTTCAAATGAAAAGTCTTTACAAGAACAAAGCTATAGGTGTTTAACATTCCTCTTAAGGCTTTTTATGGTTGCTTTGCAGCATTCCTTAATATGCGGTTCCAACTTAACAACAACGACACCCTTAAACAAGACACAATGTCAGCTTTTATAGGCTCCATTTATTAAAACATTTGATTACATAAGTCTTTAAACACTTAATACATCCATTGCAGTCATAAAGGTGGATGTTAGAGTGCACCACAAGGCTTTTGATTGTTAGTTGGAAAGTTCATTCACGGCGCAGTCTTTTATCCATTCGCCAAGTCTGTTGTGATCCAACAGCACTTATATTGAGTCGGATGAAACTAGACTGTTCATCCATAGATCCGCAAAAATAAAGAAAACTGTTGAAATTATACAAATTATATCTACATCCCTGAATAAAAACTCACAGCTCTCTTTCCCTTTCTCAGGGAAGTTTATAGTCTTTATTTTGTCTCTGCAAATTTCAATACTGCAGACAGAAAGCAGCAAATCTTGACTCTGGACTAAGAGTCTTTGATGTCCTAAACACAGGATTTCCTACTCAGATAGTGATCGTTTCAAGTTCCACTTGAAATTAGACAGCAGATTGCAAACTGCAATAATATTACTGAACAACCTGCTCAGAGGACAGTACAAGAGATACAGATTCTACATTACAAGAAATTTCACTTGAAAGACACCATCACAGCCTTTCTACAATCAGTTCACTTGGAATTTATAGTTGGTGAAGCTCGGTTTTACTGACTGATAATCACAAGGCACAGCTTTTGAATCACCATTATTTACGATTTCCCAGAGGTCACAAAATAAAAACCACAAAGATGAAGCAGAAAAAATTTACAAAACTGCTTTACATGGAAATTTCTTTCTGGATTGTTGGCTTTCAGCATATACAGAAGTAACCTAAACACATTAAATCTTGTTTTGTTAAAACATGGCAGCAACACAATGTGAAAGTCACAACTAAATAGTATATAGATGTCTTAAAGTGATAGTGCTCGTGAAAATGCCACGAGGGGAAAAAAAAGAGTTTTGTTTTACATCCATCCATCAAATTCGGCACTATGGCTAAAGGTCAGAGTATTTGCGAGTCTGTTGTCAGTCTGTCGCAGGGCTTACAGACACGACTGTTCACGCTCACATTCACAAACACAGTAACCAGTAACAATTGTGAGAGGAAGCCACAGGGGAGAGCCTGCAAACTATACAAAAAGGGTGCAACTGGCCTGTGGATTCAAACCCAGGACACTCTTGCTGTGAGACAACAGTGCTAACCATTGTGCCATGTACACATGGACTAGCATGTGGTGGAAAAATAAACTGAACACTGAGACTGTCAAACCGTCTTGAGATTTACTGAACAAACCTTTGCAAAAGGAACACCACAGCATGAACAGAATCAACACCAGCATCGATGCTGAATAAACAAAATCTCACCTCCTTTATACTCTGTGCAGCTCCAGAGCCACGTTTTCCCCACTATCATGTACACACCTACTTGATAATAAAGAGTGTGTCTAGCAGTTTTGTACCTGCTTCATCTTTGTGGACAATCAGTAGTACAGTACTACATAAGGGTTAAATAATTTTTCTATTAGACATTAATTCTAAGTATCACAAAGCAAATACAAGAAACAACTATTTCAACTTTGATTCCAACAAGGCTGATGTTTCAGACACTGATTAAGGCTGGTCCAACCTCACCCATAGCAAACACCAATCCAACATCTAAATCTTTGATACACAATTTATTGTCTGTAGCTTATAGTCTCAGTTTATATATAACTTGTGCCATCACCCTCAGCATGTTACACACCTCATGACCCCTAGGCTTTGCAGACAAGGGTTGGAGTGGGGGGGGTAACACAACTAATAAAACCAAAATTGACTGAATTATAATGAAAAAATAAATGAATACAAGTCCAGGATAAATATAATAAAATACAAAAAATGTTTTATTCATATAATTTGATTCAGATCAAACGGAGTCACCGGTGAGCTGAAGTGAAATCATAGTTAAACACATTTAGTGTAGTGTAATTTCCTCCAAACTTCTGTCATGTGGTGACTTAAACACAGAGCAACATAGAACTGAATGGATCATCTCACTGTTAAGTGTGATCCAAAACAGCTGCCCTATATTTCCTCATGCCACCACTATTTTTAAAAAAATGTTATAAAAATTGTCATCTAATGTTATATCTTACAAGATTCTCTATTGGAGACAGTACAGGTGACAAGCATGTATAAAGTCCATTTCTACTCTTGCAGGGGATTGAACCATCAACCTTCAAAATAGCAGATAACCTACTTTACCCCCTGAGCCACAGCTTCTCAAACAGTACAGAGAGAAAATATTATTTATATAGTTAAAAACAATTTTTTTTTAAAAAAAAAAACAGCCCAAAAAGTGACATGTCAGTTATAAGTATTTCCCATAACAAGTACCTTGAAGGAGAGGGTAGTGAGTGGTACCACTTAACATTTAGAAATGGGTAAATGACCCAACTCCTAGGTATACTGGGGTGGCTGTATCTCAGGTGGTAGAGTAGGTCACCTACTAATTGGAAAGGCTGATGCTTCAATCCCTTATACCGGACCTTGGTGTAGCCCCTCAGTTCATCCATGTTACAAAGAAGCCTTCAAACTCAACACCAACACAGTCAGACGCATGTGAATGAGCTAACAAAGCCACCAGATGTGATAGTGTCTTAGTACATAGATGTAAAGCTTCTCTACCTCTGCAGGTCCTGTCCCAGTTTCTCCGACCGGTCCTCTGCAAGCACTTGGTACATATCATCTTCCTCCAGCCTACGTTTGTACCCCGCCCGGAACAAAGGATTCAGCCACCTGAGGGAAAAATAATTCCAAGAGTCAGAGGGAAGTGGAAGCAGATGTCGAAAGAAAGAGGAGAGACCGCAGTTTATGGTTTAATTTAGCTGATCATCAACTACATGGTGTTAGAGCCGTGCAAAAAAACATGTAATATGCTTGCAGCAATGAAAAAAAAAAAAAACACTTAAAATGTGAGAAATGTGTGGTAAAGCAGGACTTCATAACATGATGGGCTGGAGGCACAGATGGATTAATAGATATACAGGTTCAAACAAATTAAAAAAAAAAAAAAACCAACAGCACTTACATAAAAGTAAGGATCCAAAATGCAGGTCTTTGTTGCTTGTTTACCTCACTTCGTGTCCATTTCATTTCTCTGTGTGTTTTGTAGTCACATTTTAATGGATTTCCTTTTCTCTCATGACTCCTTTGTAGTTTATTTTGCATGCAGAAATGTCTCTTTGGACACACAGTGTTTTTCACTGAAGCCGTGCCAGGCCCAAGCTGGAACTAATTCCATGCATTTTTGCGGATGCCAAAAAGCAGACACTAACATGACGCCGGAGAACTATCGGGCCCAAAATTGGTACCACTGTTTACCAATGGCTATAGGAGGTGTTTACCAATGATTTACACAGTCAGTCTGTAGATTGTGTTGGACTTTTTTTTCCTTTTTTAAAAAAAAATTACCACAACTCTGACAAGCTTAGACTCTTTTAAGGGATGCTCAAGCGTCCCTAAATGTCATCATAGCACCCATTAAAAACAAATAAAAGAAATTGTCTAAAGCACAGTGGACTGACTTTATGTGGTTAATAGACTTTTAAAAAAGCTGTGGATGCTTCTCCTCTTATCTTCTTTTCTATAAACTGTTCTTTAACTTTGGAAAATTGTGGTCAGCATGACTGAGCCTTTGCCTCAGTCACTACCACTGTTACAGTACTATATTTAAATGTCTAAATAGATTGGGTTTGAAGGCAACATTTTAATATTTATCAGATTGAATTTAGGTTTCCAAAGGTGAAAAGGACTGAATGGTTGCACCATTTTACATAAATATTAAAGCGAATTTATTATATGCATGGCATTATCCTTGGGAACTGAGCCCCCCTAAAGGTTTTAACTTAGACTCGCCCCTGGTGTAAGAACTCAAGGGAGATTCTTTGGAAGAGAGGTAACAGCGCGTTGCCACTGGGCTAGTGCAAGGTAAACACGTCCAATTACCTGTAAAGATTAAAGAGCACAGGTGTATTAATAACGGCTACGTTCTACTTAGGAGGTCCTGCTTCTGTTCGCGAGGTTATAACTTGCTGGGAATTGAGAAATCAAACTTCGTGAGCTTGATGTGAGTGGTAAAGGAAACCGTCGTGTACAAAAAAGCAAAAAACAGCTTGATCGTCCACACAAACAAACATCCTCTGTGTTTGATACAAACCCGAGTAAGCAATTGCCATCTGAAGCGGCGGTATTCAAAATAATTCAACGATAAAGCTTTGAATAAATATACAGGATATGCTTCTGGCATTAAAGACTTGCCTAAAGTTTAAATTCTGTAACGAAAACCAGACAACCGTTATAGCCAAGCACCCGACTTCTGGTTTTCAGCAACTTTCGGTTTAAGCTGTTTTATGGCTCCACTTACTTTAAAAACAACATTTAGAAAACATATACATTTCTCCACATCCTTTATACGTGTTTTCAAGTTTCAACGTTAGCCCGCAGGACGTTTTATTAACTTACCAGAAAAATATCTTGGACAAAAAGTTCGCGGTGGCAGCCGGGTTCGTCTTGGCGTCTTTGCTGACTTTTTCCATCGTAGCCCACGCTCACACCGCAGGTTCCCTTCAGCTCTTCCCCCTTATAAAAAACTGCTCCCCGTGGCTATGTGCCGTGGCTTTGGAGCAGACACATGTTACGCGGAGGTCAGCAACCTCAAGGTGCGTTACATATCCTGTAAGACACATGAGCCCTCTCCTTAAAAGCGGTCATAAAAAAAGAAAAAATAGAATAGAAACGTCTGTAATCGCTCCGCCCCGTCACACCCAATTGGTTAAAACAGTGGTGCACGCGCACTGACTGTGTGGCTGCGGTGCATTCACGTAACATGTTTAGAATGTCACAGAGTCCAGTTTACCTATGATTTTTCTTCTTTTTTTGGTCATTGATGAGGAAAAAGTAGTATTAAAGATACTGCAAATAGTTCTCTTTCTAATATGGAAGAGTCCTTGACACCTTCAGTTTTCAGATACAGAAGTTTCACCTTAACTGATATTACGTAATAAAGCAATATTTGTACCGCATTACGTTTTAAGGTACAATTGCCGTCAAAGATAAGGAAAAAATTGACTTTACTGGTGAATATGAAATTTTCTTTATGCTGTAAAAGAGCTCAAACGTGTCCAAATAAACTTCCTGTGTGTCAGATGCTTAGAGCTTATCATAATTTGTCAGCAAAATACCTTCCTCATAGGGCTTGCCTTGTAGCTGTGAGGTCTCACTTGACTGTATTTAAGTTTTGATAACAATGTATCATAAACGAAATTGTGTCTGTCCTGTGGGACCCAACCTGAGAGTTTTCTACTCAAAAGTTTCCATGGCAAAGGAGGTGGCATTTGTTTGCTTGCTTGCTTTCTCTCTGTGACTTTATGATCCCAGAGGCAAACACACTGATGTGAGGTAGACACAAAGAGAATATCCTATAAATAAAAAGCAGGCTGTTGATGAGAGAGGCTGTCTGACATTCAACAGGTGTTTCCTGCTTTGACATAAAAGACCAGAGATAGAAAGAGAGAGCAGGGACTAAAACACCTACCTCCTTTCCTTCTGTCACTAATTTCCCTTTTCCTCCCCCTTATTCACTGAAATTCAGTAAAATATAACCAGGGTAAATGAATGTCCTGACAGTCTCAATCTAATGATAACAAAGCTGCATGTTCATAGCTCCTAACCTCACACGTTACTTTATACTACGGCTGACGTTTAGCTAGCGCTGACTGGGAGAAAGGCCAAAAGAAGAGAAGCCAGCAGGAGATTATTACAAGCAGCTGAGCTCAACCCAATAACATTCATCCAAACTACTTTCGCTTGCTATCCTAAGTTGTGTGGCAGGTCTGCTTCATTTCTCACATGTTGTATTTTCAGGTTATTTTCATTTCTTCAGTGCTCAACAAGGCAAAGGTGCACTATTTTCACAATTCTTCAGCATGCTTTATTGACTTGGGTCAGGGTGACCAGACAACTGCCGCTTACAAGATATTATTACACTATAAACCAAGGGGATGGTTCTGTGGGAAAAACCCAATAAATCTGCAGTTTCTTAAATAATAAAACCAGTCAACCTAGCACCAGCAAG